TGAGCACGGCGTAGAGGGACAGGCACTCGCACAGGACGTCGACGCGACTGATGCCGGGGCTATTCGCGGCAGGCGGCGCCTTCGCGGCGGCGCTGGACTCGTCGAGCGAGCGCGCGCGGCCGGAGGACGACGCGCGGCGCCGCGGCGGCGGCGGCGCGTCGACGACCGGCTGCGGCGGCGGCGCGCGGCAGGCTGCGAAGAGGCTCATGGGCAGCCAATCGTGATCATGACGGCGGCGCGTCGACGACCGGCTGCGGCGGCGGCGCGCGGCAGGCTGCGAAGAGGCTCATGGGGCAGCCATCGGAGGCAAACGAAGACAGCAACTTAACTTCAACATCGCATCCGGCCCCGAAGACGGCACGCAAAAAGCCGCGACTCATGTGCGCGAGCACACGACCAAACAAGGTTACTTCGACGACGGCGAGAAGGACACGTTCCTCCCGCCGGCGCCCCTGTTGGCGAAGGGCGCGCCGCGGTCCATGGGCGCGCCCGGGACGTAGGTCGGCCCCGTGAGGAAGTTCTCGGAGCCGGACTGCGCGAGGCCGCCGGCGCCGGGCCGCCGCGCGGCGCGCTTCTTGTGGAGGGGCTTGAGGTGGCCGCCGCCCGCGTGGCCGCCGACGACCGTGCCGCTGTCCTCGAGCGCGATGCGCATGTCGCGCGAGAGCTCGACGGCCCGCCGCTGCGGCGACTCGTAGGGCGCGCGCTTCGGCGCGATGACGTTCGTGCCCTTGATCTGGTCGCTGAAGGGCTCGTAGTCGGCCCGCTCGCCGAGGCGGAAATTCCGCGGCGGGCCGTCGCCGAGGCCGCGCACGAGCGCGCCGCCGCCGCCGGCGACCGCGCCGCCGCCGGCGCCCGCGTGGACGCCCGGCGCCGCGGTGCCGAAGGGATCGTGGTGCGCGCCCGGGGGCATGCGCACCTGGTACCCCTCCGGCGCCGGGAGGTGGGCCTGGAGCCGCAGGTCCTCCTCCGGCGCGTCGCCGTCGCCGTAGTACGGCCGGTTGCACGCGAGGCACTTGACGTTGAGCGCGCCGGAGAGGCCGCCGTCGTCGTGCGGGTTCGCGCGCGCCGCGGCCTCGACGCGCTCGTCCAAGCGCCGCTCGAACTCGGCCAGGTCGTCCTGGTCCGCCTTGCGGCCCAAGAGCCGCTCGAGCCGCGCGTAGCGCGGCGTCCGCGCGGCGGAGGACCGCACCTGGTCGCTCAGGGCCTGCATCTCCGCCTCGTACTCGCTGAGGGCCGCCTTGGAGTGCTCCGACTCGTCCTTCGTCGCGCGGAACATGGCCGCGAGGCCCTTGAGCGCCTCGTCGACCTGGTGGATCTCGGACCGCGACGCGAAGCCGTGGCGCATCTGCTCGACCATCTCCTCGAGGCACGAGTCGAGGCGCTGCGCCTCGCGGTTGCCCTGGTGGGCGAGCACGCGGACCTGGTCGAGCTCGTGCATGGCCTTCTCGAGCGCGACGCGGTCCTCGTTGATCGCGTCGGCCGCGACGCTCGACGGCGCGAGCTCCTCGACGCCGGAGCCGGCGACGAAGCGGCTCGCGACCTCCCAGACGCGCGTGCGGTCGCGCTCCGTGGCGACGGACTCGCGGCGCGCGCGCGCGCGGTCGACCTCGGTATCGGGCGGGTCCGCGTGCGCGTCGAGCGACGACGCCATGCGCTTGAGCTGCGCGTTGAGCTTCTTCTGCTGCTTCTTCTGCTTCTTCGGGGGCTCGTGGTGGCCGTGGTGCTTCGCGCCGTGGTGCTTGTGCGCGACGTCGCCGTCGGAGTCGCTGCTCTCGCCGTCCACGAGCACGTCCCGGTGCTCGGGCCGCGCGCTGAACGCGTCGAACTCGCCGCGGAGCCGCGCGAGGTCGAGGCACGCGGCCGTCACCGAACCATGGCCGTCGAGGAGCGCGACGACGCGCTCGAGCGCGAGCTCGAGCGCCTCGGCCCACGTCTCGCAGGGCAGGCCCCCGGGCCCGAGGAGCGGCGGCGTCTCGTCCGCGCCCCGGGCGCCGCCGTCGGCGATGGTCTGCGCGTGGTGCGCGCCGCCGTGGAGGAAGGGGATGTTGAGAGTGGTCATCTCCACGGAGTGGTCTAAGGTCGCGGCGATGACGCGGAGCCGGAGAAGCGTCGACGGCGCGAGCGGCGGCGCGTCCGGCTCGGGGTCGCCGGGCTCCGCCTGGAAGGCGAGGGCGGTCTGGAGCTCGCCCTGGGACGGCAGCTGGCGGAGCGCGCCGCCGCAGCCCTCGTCGAGGAAGTGGAGGAAGTTCTGCGCGGACGCCTCGCCGGGCGTCAGCGGCTCGCCGTGCTTGACCTTGGCCTTGCGCGCGCCGAAAGAGTCGCGCACGGCGTCGAGGGCCTCGACGCATCTGAGCCGCTTTTCGAGCTCGTCGCGGCGGCGCTCGCGCGCGAGCGCGCGCTCCGCGTTCGCCTCGACGAGGGCCTTCTCGCAGCGGACCTGGAGCTGGTCCGCGAAGCGGGTCACGGCGTCGATGTCGTGGCGGAGCTCGAGCACGGACGACCCGCCGCCGAAGTGCTGCTCGAGGTGGCGGCTCACCGTGAGCTCCGCGGCGCGGATCGCGATGGGGTCGACGACGCCCTGGAGCGAGCTCATCTGCGCCTTGACGTCGTCGACCGTCGTGTCCAGGCCCTCGTTGAGCGCGTCCTGCTTGCCCGCGGTGTCGTTCGCGAGCTTCTCGAGGTTCTTCAGGCGCGTCGCGAGCTCCTGCTCGATCTTGACGACGCGCTCCGCGAGCTTGCCGTCGTCGACGATGTCGTCGAGGCCCATGAACGACTTCTTGCCGTCCTGGCCGAGGCTGAGGGCCTTGCGCAGGGGCGCCTTCTTGTGCGTGTTCGTGCCCGCGACGCCGAGCTTGACGGCCATCTTCACTTTGATCTTCGCGTTCTTCAGCCGGCCCATGAGCGTCTTGCCCATCTTCTTGCGGCCCGCGGCCTCGGCCGGGGCGTCCGCGGCCGCGTACTTCTCCGGGTGCGCCTCGCGGTCCGCTCGCTCCGCCTCCGCCTTCAGGAGCAGGTGCTGGCGCTCCGCGTGCTTGGCGGCGCGCTGCTCCTCGACGTCCTCCTCCTTGGCCCAGCCGCCGTAGCCGTCGAAGAAGAGTTTCACGCCGTGCTCGTCGACGCGCGGCGACTGGTAGGGCTGGGGCTTGGGGATGTCGAGGGGCTCGCCGTCGTCGCTCAGCGCGACGGGCACGACGATGGGCTTCCCCGCGGCCTCGAACATCTTGCGCTCCTCCTCGGACATGGCGCCGTGGGAGTTGAGCATGGACGGCCGCCACTTGTTGGGCCGCGCCGTGACGCGCTTGTGCTCCCCCGGCGCGTCCAGCAGGTCCGCGTCCTCGTCCTCGTCGATGAGCTGTTTCCGCGGGTTGTACTCGCGGGGCGCGTCGTTCTCCGGCGACGCGGAGACGCCGAGCTTGGACGCGAACTTGGTGATCTTGCGCGTGCGCCGCACGCGCTTCGTGCGCCGCGCCGCCGACTTGATGCCCTTCTCCTTGCGCCGGTTGCGCCGGTCGGCCTTGCGCTGGAGGTAGCGGTGCCGCCGCGCCTCGTCGGAGCCGCCGAGGCCGTCGTCGAAGTCCGGGCCGTCCTCGTCGTCGGTGTCGGCGTCGCTGTCGGACTCGGACTCCTCCGAGCTGTAGGACTCGTACTCGGAGTCGTCGTCGTCCTCCATGGGCGGGTGCTCGGGCGCCGGGGCCTCGCCGCGGAATTGCACGATGGACCCGCGGCCGCGCTTCACGAGGAAGTCGCGGATGCGCTTCTGCAGCATGGTCACGGCGCGCTCGAGGCGCTGCTCCTCGCTGAGGTGGCCGCTGCCGAAGAGCTTGGCGACGACGTTCCCCTGGAGCGCCTGCGCGCGCTTCTTGCTCCCCGCCTTGAGCGAGTCGATGATCATCTCGACGTGGCTCCAGCAGCCCTCCATCTCCTCCTCGAGCGTCGTCACGCGGTTCACGCAGTCCTTCGTCGCCCGCTCCACCTCCCGCGGGATCTTCTTGCTGAACTTGGCGTCGAGGTCCATGAAGCGCGTCTCGAGGTGCGCCGCGAGGCTCGTGAGCTTCGACGCCTGCTCCTGCTGCTGCGTCATGATGGCCTCGATGCCCTCGAGCAGCGCGCTCATCTGGGACCGCTGGGCCGCGCCCAGCTTCGCGCGCATCATCTCCACCGCCTCGTTGTACTCCGGCGCCATGGTTGAGAGCCCCGGCGCCGCGCGGCAGCGGCTCCCCCTGTTGTGAGAGCCGCGCTGTCGTTACTTAGAAGGCATATGTTGCTGTCAACTTGACAATCAAGCATGCATCTTTGCCCTCGCTGAACGCTTGCGGCAGCTCCCGCAGCGGCGCGCGCTCCTTCGTCGTGCCCGTGCCTCGCGTCCTCGCGTCCTCGCGCCAGTTCGTCCGCGTCTATCCGCACAACTCGTGCGCGCATCCTCGCACCGGTTCGTCCGCGAATTCGTCGCAGCGATGTCGCAAAACCTCATGTTCAGTGGGAGCGCGGCGGACATGCTCAAGTCCATGGGCGCGGCGGTGCCGGACCAGCAGCCGCAGACGTCCCTCGAGGAGGCGCAGGCGGCCAAGAGGAAGATGGACGCGGAGAAGGTCTGCACGGACGAGCACTGCACGGAGGACCACGCGCACGGCCACGACCACGGCGACGGCAAGGTGTGCACCGCGGACCACGGCCACGGCGGCCACGACCACGCGAACCACGGCCACGGCGGCCACGACCACGCGACGTGCACGGCGGACCACGACCACGGCGGCCACGACCACGCGAGCCACGACCACGGCGGCCACGACCACGCGACGTGCACGATGGACCACGACCACGGCTCGCACGACGAAAAGGCGGGCGGCCACGACCACGGCCACGGCCACGGCCACGAGAAGAAGGCGGAGGACCGCGGCCACGGCCACGGCCACGGCCACGAGAAGAAGGAGGCGTCGGGCCACGACCACGGCGGCCACGACCACTCGTGCTGCGGCGGCCACGACCACGCCGGCGCCGGCGAGCACCCCATCGCCGCAAAACTTAAAGCCGCGCTCGACGCGACGCACGTCGCCGTCGAGGACCTGTCCGACGGCTGCGGCGCCAAACTCAAGATCACCATCGTGTCGGCCAAGTTCGAGGGCCTCCCGCTCCTCAAGCAGCACCGCCTCGTCAACGACGCCGCGAAGGACGAGCTCAGCGCGGTCCACGCCTTCAACCTCAAGACGTTCACGCCCGCGAAGTGGGCCGCCGCCGCGAGCAAGTGAGCTGGCGGTCTGTCGGACTGTAAAAGAACTGCAACGAGCAACGCTGGCCGAAGGTGAATTTTTGAGCGCGCGCGCGCATGGCGCCCAAGCGCAGACCCTCGAGTGTAAAAGAGGCGCCTGCCGCCTCCGACGCCGCGTCGTCGGACGCCGAGCCGCCCGCGGAGCAACCCGAACAGGAAGACGCCGCGCCGCCGCCGCCGCCGCCGCCGCAGGCCATCGTGCCCCTGGACCGCGCGACCATCGACCGCATCGCCGCCGGCGAGGTCGTCGCGCGGCCGGGCAACGCGCTCAAGGAGATGTTCGAGAACGCCATCGACGCCGGCGCGCGCACCATCGCCGTGAGCGTCGCCGAGGGCGGCGTGAAGCTGCTCCGCGTGAGCGACGACGGCTCCGGCGTCCGCAAGGCGGACCTCAAGCTGCTCTGCGTGCGCCACGCGACGTCCAAGCTCCGGACCTTCGAGGACCTCCAGTCCATCCAAAGCTTCGGCTTCCGCGGCGAGGCCCTCGCGTCCATCTCCCACGTGGCCAAGCTCTCGATCCTCACGAAGACGCGCGACGGCGCGTGCGCCTACCGGTGCGCGTACCGCGACGGCGAGCCCGTCGACGGGCCGACGCCCTGCGCCGGCGCCGACGGCACGACCATCACCGTGGAGGACCTGTTCTACAACATGCCCACGCGGCGCCGGGCCATGGCGGCGTCCGCCGCGGACCAGTACCACTTCGTGAGCCGCGTCTGCGGCGCCTACGCGGTCCACTACGCGGGCCGCGGCGTGTCCGTGAGCTGCCGCAAGGCCCACGGCGCCTGCGACGTCAACGTCGCCGGCGGCGACACGCTCGCGGCCATCCGCGCGGTCCACGGCGCGGTCGCCGACGACGTCCGGGAATTTTCCTGCGCGCGCAAGCCCGGCGACGACCCGGACGTGTGCACGCAGGACGACGGCGGCGAGCACGCCTGCGAGTTCGCGTGCCGCGGCTTCGTGAGCCGCCGCGCCCGCGAGCACTCGACGCTCGGCGCGACGCCGACCGCGCGCGACGCCGCGAGGCGGTTCACGCTCTTCGTCAACGACCGCCTCGTCGAGTCCGCGGCCTTCAAGCGCATGGTCGACGAGGCCTACGCGGCGTCGGCCGACGCCGCCGACGGCCTGGGGAGCCGGGGCAAGGCCAAGCCCTTCGCGTACCTCGCGATCGACGTGCCGGGGCACCACGTCGACGTCAACGTGCACCCGACGAAAAAGGAGGTCGCGTTCCTCTACGAGGCGCCCATCCTCGACACGATCCGCTGCCACCTGGAGAAGCTCGTCGCCGAGACGGCCCACGAGATGCGCATCGCGGACCTGAGCGACCGGAAGCTCACGGCGTCGCCGAAGCGGCGGAAGACGTCCGGCGGGTCGCAGAGTTCGCCGTCGCGGGGCTCGCTGTCGCAGGACGCGGCGCCGCGGCCGAGCCAGCCGCGCAAGGAGCCGTCCCTGAGCCAGCGGCCGGAGAAGATGATCCGCACGGACCCGCGGGACCAGCGCATGGACGCCTTCTTCTCGCCGAGCCAGCGGAAGCGCGCGCCGCCGCCGGCCGCCGTCGTCGGCAACACGGAGCCGCTCTGGCCCCGGCCGTCCCAGGACGACGACGACGACGACTACGCGCCGCCGCCGCCGCCGCCGGACGCGGAGTCGTCGCCCGCGGACGACGACGACGACGACGGCGCGGCGCCGTCGCCCGCGTCGCCCGTCGCGCGGCGGACGCGGCGCGCGGACCGGCCGTCGCCCGCGCGGCCCTTCCGCCACTCGCCGAGCAAGTCGTGGTCGCCCCAGGGCGACGGCGCGCCGCCGCCGTCGACGCAGGAGACCGCGCCGCCGTCGTCGGCCAACGACGACGACGACGACGCGCCGGCGGGCGACGACGACGACGACGACGGCGCGGCCGCGCCGCCGGCGGGCGACGACGACGACGACGACGCGGAGGCGGCGCCGAAGCGGTTGCGGCGGCGGGCCGCGCCGGCGCCCGACGAGGCGCCGGAGCTCACGGTGTCGCGGGAGGGGGGCACGGCGTCGTTCCGCGCGGCGCCCGTCGCGCGCGACGGCGGCGGCGGCGGCGTCGGCTTCTGCTCCAAGTGCGGCGCGCGCAAGGACGAGAACCTCGCGACGGTGCCCGGCGCGTTCTCCTTCGCCTACGAGCAGCTCGCCAAGGGCACCCAGATGTGCGAGGAGTGCGGCGCCGTCGTCTCCGCCGACGGCGGCCTGCTCAAGAAGCAGTACGAGCTCGCGGTCCGGGAGACCGCGTGCAAGTACGACAGCGTCCGCGAGCTCCTCGACGCGATCCGCGCGCGGCGGCCGGGCGTCCAGTCCGCCGAGGCCATGCGGCAGCACGTGCTCGTGGGCCACTACGACGCGCACTGGACCATCATCCAGCACGGCACGCACTTGGCGCTCGCGAACACGGGCGCGCTGTCCGTCGAGCTCTTCTACCAGCTCGCGATCCGCCAGTTCGGCGAGGCGCCGACGATCGAGTTCGACCCGCCGGGCGATCTCGCCTTTCTCATGGCCGCGCACCTCCGCAGCGAGGAGCCGGACCGGACGGAGGCGTCGGCCGCGGCCGACGCGGCCAAGGCCGCGGCGACGCTCGGGTCCAAGGCCGCCATGCTCGAGGAGTACTTTAGCGTCAAGATCGACGCGGAGAAGGGCCTGCTGCTGGGCATGCCCGAGCTCCTGCGCGAGTACGTGCCGGAGCCGTCGGCGATCCCGCGGTTCCTCTGGGTCCTCGCCAACGACACGGAGTGGCGCTACGAGAAGGCCTGCTTCGAGAACGTCGCGCGGGCCCTGGGCACCTGCTACGCGACGCTCCCGAGCGACGACGCCGACGAGAAGGTCCTCAACGAGCGCGCGGAGGCCGTCCTCAAGACGTCCATCCTCCCCGCGCTCAAGACGCTCCTCCTCCCGCCCGAGGACCTCGCCGACGCCGACGCCGTCATCAAGCTCACGAGCCTCGAGCGCATGTACCGCGTCTTCGAGCGGTGTTAACTTGTCCCTGTGGAATGGGCATCATGGGACTTGTGGCGTCTTGCACCTCAATTTGCCCCGGCCACCTCCCCCTCCCCCTTCCCTTGCCTCTCGGGCTCTCCCCCCCCCCCCCCCTTTTTTTTCTCGCCCTTCGGGGCTTCGCCACTTGTGGCGCCGGGGAGGCTGATCCTCCCCCCGTGGGCCTTCGGCCCCTGCTGGGGGGCAGCTGCCCCACCTACTTCAACTTCTTCCGTCCGAGGCCTACAGGCCGTGTGTGCTCTTGGGCATGCGGCTCCTCCGACGCTAAATCACCAATAATAATAATAATTTCTCTGCCGCGGCAACCAGAAGTGCAACCACTTGTGCAACCACGGGCCACCCACGGACAAAAGATTCGAACGTCATGCCGAGGTGGGTGGGTGGGGCCCGGGGCCCGGATTTGGAAATCGCAGGGTGTACTGAGTGCTTACTGGTAGGTCGCGCGCGCGCGCGCGCGCGCGCGCGCGCCGCGCTGCCGCGCCGGTCACGGTGTACTCCGCGCGCGCTGCGCAAGGGCGCAGGGCCGGCGACACGCGCCTTGGCGGTCCGCTCGTCGCGCCTCGATGCGCGCGTGCGCCCGTGGCAGCGCCTACTCCGACCCTCGCCGCGCAGCAGACACGAGGACGCGAGCATTTCGCCGCCCGCGGCGCCGCGCGGTCCCGCGGTCCCGCGCGCGCGTTGTGGCGATTCGGCGAGCGGCAACTTGAAGGTAACTAACGAAAAGGAGGTCCCTGATTGGCCAGGAGGTGGGTGGGTGGGTGCCGGGCCCGCGATCGAGGAACCCGGCATGACGTGCCTGGGGTTTTATCCCGGGCCGCTCTTGGTGCAACCAGGCTTTTTTTTCTTCGCATGTGAGAGGTTGAGAGGGAGGTTGAGAGCAAAGCACTGCCGATGAACACGCTCAAGCGCTATGCGACGATGGACACGCTGCGCAGCGGAACGAACATCGCGCGCGCCGCGGTCGTCTTCACGAAAGCGCATCCACAGATAGGAGCTATAGCACTGGGCATCGCGCTTCTGGTAGCGCTGCGCTTGCGACGGCTCTTCGGCTTCGGCAGGCAGCGCAGCAAGGAAAAGGACAAAGCCAACAAGTCCTGGTTCATGTCGCACAAGTTCGTGGGACTCATGCTCGTCGCGATGCCGGCGCTGCTCCTGCTCCTGCACGTCGCGGTCGGCCGCGCGCTCCCGAGGACGTCGACGGCGCGCTACTCGTCGAAGATCCCGCCGCCGGTGCTCCGGCTCCTCCCGCGCCACGTGATCTACTTGGTCGACCACCCGTCGCTGGCCGTGTCGCTCGGCATGGTCGTCGCCGGTCTGCTAATAATCTTCCTCGTCACCTGGGCCAGGTTCGTCTACCGCATCCTGCGGTCGACGCTCGTCGCCTACGTCCTCGCGAGCTCGGGCTACGGCGCCTGGGCGGGCTACCGCTCCGCGCCGGGCTCGACGACGCACTACCGGCTCGCGCTCGCGCTCGCCGGCGCGCGGCGGCCCGTCGCGCAGCTCCTGCGCTACCTCGCGTCGCCGATCACGTCCTTCGTCGCCCACACGCGGCTCGTGCTCGCGCCGCTGCTGCGGGCGCTCGCGATCCAGTCCCGGGTCATCGGCGTGCTGCTCGCCCAGGGCTACTGGGTCTTGGGCCTGACGAAGCACTTCGCGGAGTCGACGGTCGTCCTCATCGGCCTGCTCACGGTCGCGGTCGTCGCGCTCTGCGACGCGAAGCTCGAGCTCGCCGCGGCCAGGCGCGAGCTCCGGGAGAACGACTTGAAGGAAGTTAGTAAGGCGGGTTGACTGGCGAGAGGCGCGGAGACGTCGTCGTGCTTTTCTAGAGATAGCGCATTAGGCGAGGGCGTTCTCGTCGAGAATCGCCCGCGACCACGGACCCCAGACGGCCGCGAAGATGGCCGGGAGCCGGCTCGAGAGCCCCCACGGTCTCTCTATCGCATTAGGCGACGCACCCCGCCTACGCGCCTCTCTCTCTAGCGCATTAGGCGACGCACCCCGCCGACGCGCCTGCCTTGGCTTGGGCGGACGCTGAAGCCTATCGTCCGATAAAATCGACACTCTGTCCGCTTCACGCCCTCATCCTCACAGCGCCGCCCCGTGTCTCGTCATGGTGTCCCCGAAAGTGTCCCCGACCCCTCTTTAACCCCCTCTCCTCGAACGTCGCCCGAAAAATCGAGCGCTCGCGACGAGTTTCCCATAATCATTGAGTTAAAGCACCCATAATCGGATGATCCCGCCGGCCGAGAGTGCGCCGCCCCGTACTAGTACGTAAAAAGCGTGGTGTTTACGGCGGGCGGATCAGAGCGTCTTGAGCGGGCCGGCGCAGCCGGCGACGAGCGTGTCGAGCGGGCTCTCGAGGAAGGGGGTCTTGGGCGCGCGCTTCGCGGCGAGCGCCTTCTCGCGGCGCTCGCGCGCGGTGCGCGCGGCGCTGGAGCCGTACATGGCGTCGTTCTCCTCGTCGCCGGGGCCGAGGTAGGCCACGGAGAGGTTGTCGAGGAGCCGCTGCTGCGCGTCCGCGGCGCAGTCGAGGTCGACGCCGAGCTTGGCCTCGACCGCCGCGACGTCGTCGTCGTCCAGGTCCGGGCCGAGGGCGACGTCGGGCGCGAAGCGGGCCCAGCCGACGAGGAAGCACTCGCGGAGCTGGTCGACCTCCGTCGCGGCCGTCGCGCGGCAGAGCGCCTTGAGGACCGCGGCGAGCGTCCGCGGCAGCGGCGTCTCGTTGCGGCGGCGCACGCGGTCGCGGAACGTCGCGGAGATGAGGTTGAGGTCCGCCGTGTCGCGGACGCAGGCCTCCGTGGCGTTGGCGACCTGCGTCGGCCAGCGCCGGCCCGGCGGCGGCGCCGCGGCCGCGGCGGCCGCCGGGAACGCGCGGCCGGCGCCGGCGTAGAGCTCGTAGGGGCCGAGGGGCGCGAGGCCCGTGTCGTCGCCGGCGGCGTAGGTCGCGCGGGCCGCCTTGGCGGCGGGCCGTTCTTCGCCTTCTTCGCCGGCGGCGCCGCGGCCCCGGCGGCCGCGGCGGCCTCGGCGGACGCGGCGCGCTTCAGGGGCGAGCTCGCGAGGTCGCCCTTGGCCGCGATGTGCTGCGCGTCGACGCGCTTCTCCGAGCCGCCGAGGACGTACTTGACGCCGTAGGTGAAGCCCGTCGTGCGCGACGCGCTCCCGTCCTTCATGGGGCCGAGGTCCGCGGACCGCTCGTCGTGGATCTTCGCGATCATCGCCGTGCCGCCGTGGTAGTTGAAGCCCGGGTGCGTCCGCGGCGCGACCTCGACGAGCTGCTTGAGCGAGAACAGCGGCGCCTCGCCCGCGTCGCGGGGGGCGCGGGCGCCGCCGCGGGCGCCGCCGCGGGCGCGCGGGCGCCGCGTCGGCGCCGCGCCGGCGCCGCCGGGCGCCGCGTCGGGCGCCGCGTCGGGCGCCGCGTCGGGCGCCGCGTCGGGCGCCGCGGGCGCCGCGGGCGCCGCGGGCGGCTCGGCCGCGGCCTGGGGCGGCTCGGCGGCCTTGGCGGCCGTCGTCGCGCGGGGCCGCGCGGCCTTGAGGGCGTAGGCGAAGCGGATGCAGGTCGCGAGGCCCGACTCGTCCGTCGTGGCCTCGTTGAAGGCGTCGAGGACGACGACGTCGCCGAGCTCGAGCGCGCGGCTCGCGCCCGGCGCGACGAGCGCGCGCTGCCGCGTGCCGGCGAGGATGATGCCCGTCGGGTTGAGGGCGCTGGGCGCCGTCGTCGCCACGTAGGCGCCGTCGCCGCGGCGCTCGAGCGTGCACTGCCGGCGCGAGATGCCCGTCTCGTCCGTGCCGACGCCGAGCGGCAGCTTCTCGCCGACGATCGCGTCGTTGAGGCTGCTCCGGCCGAGGATGTGGAAGGCGCCGAGGGCGTGCTCCTCGCCCCGGCCGCAGAGGCCCACGCTCTCGAGGTAGACGGCGTCGCAGGCGCCCTTGGCCTTCTTCGCCGCCGGCGTCGCCGCGCCCTTGGGCGCGGCCTTGGCGGCGGCCTGCGCGCGCTGGCACTCGCCGAGGCGCGCGACGGCCGCGGCGGCGCGCTCGACGAGGGCGTCCTTGTCGAGGCAGTCCGCGTGGTCGAGGCCGCCGCGCTCGATCAGGGCCTTGAGCTCCTTGACCCGCATGCCCCGGAGGTCGGCGGACGGCGCCGACCGCGCGGGCGCCTCGCGCTTGCGCTTGCCCCCCGCCGCGGGCGGCTTCTTGCCCTTCTTCGCCGACCAGGTCTTCTTCTTCTTCCCGTCGACGACGACGCTCACGTCGCCGCCCTCGAAGTCGGCGGACAGGCGCAGGTTCGCCGCCTTCTCCTTGGCGTCGGTGTAGGACGCGGGGTCGCCGGCGTCGCTGTCGAAGACCCAGCGCTTCACGTTCCCCGGGAGCTCGTGGAGCACCTGGTACCGCATGCCGTTCGCGCACCCCGGGGAGTCCGGGACCCCGTCGGCCAGGCCGTTCGAGACTCGAGGGTTTGATTCGACGACGCGCATGGTCCGCGGAGAGGTCGACGTCGCCTCCACCAACAGACTTCACCCAATTGCCTGAAGCCTTGTTGAAGAAGTCTGTGACTGCTGCGCCCACACACGACCGACCACACACGATCGAATTACTTGCCGCCGCCGGCGGCGTACTTGGACTTGCGCTTCCGCGTGAAGGACGGCGCGCGCGCCGGGAACTGCTTGATCTGCTTGAACTTGCCCGACGCGGTGCGGACGACCTTGGTCATGAGCGACTCCCGGGCGGCCTCGGTCCGCCCTCGGGCGCGACGCGCGAGCCCTTGCGGCCCTTCTTGGGGTGGCGCTTGTGTTGTTCCTCGGGCGCGCCGGGCACCTGGCGCTCGTACGCGGACTTGTGCATCGTCGTCGGGTCGAGGTGGGCGTCCTTGGACTTGCGCTGCGCGCGCTCCTGCTTGGCCGCCTTGGCGTGGGCGAGGTCGCGGCTCCGCCGCTTCCGCCGCTCGTCGAGACCCGCCCCGCCGTCGCCGGGGACCGCCGCGGACAGCGGGCTCTCGAAGTCGTCGTCCGAATTCCGCGACCGCCGCCGCTCCCGCGGCGCGGCGTCGTCGAAGCTCCGCGACGGCCGCTTCCCCCGGTCGCGGGACCTGCGCCGCTCGCGGCCGCCGTCGTCGTCGAAGCTCCGCGACGCCCGCTGGCCGCGGTCGCGCCGCTTCGCCGCGTCGCGCGCCGCGTTGCGCTCCTGCCGCTCGGGGTGGTCCGGGTCGAGGCCCTGCAAAATGTCGACGATGTGGGCCTTCATCTCCGGGTCGACGTCGCGCTCGCGCTTCCGCCAGTAGCTCGCGCCGAGACCTGGGCAGGAAAAGGGTGCGAAATTCCCAACTTCAAAGGCTCCTATCTCGGTCGTTTTCCGCTCGTTTCGGCTGATTTTTGGACGAGCGATCATCTCTCGGAGCGCTCTCGAAGCCGGGATGCTCTTTCCGGAACGCGCGCGCGCGGAACACTCACGTTGAAGCGACGTTGAATCACCCTTTTCCTGCCCTGTCCCAGACACGCGTGGCGCATGCGCTCCTGCATGTGGAACGCGGGGAAGAGGAGCAGCGGGTGCTGGCGGTTCCGCGCGCGGAACTCGTCGAAGGAGATCGTCCCGTCGCAGTCGCTGTCCATGACCCGCAACAGCTGCTCCACGCGCGCGTCCAACGCCTTCCCGTAGACGGACCGGACGAGCTCCTCCACTTCCCGCACCTCGAGGACGCCGCTCCGGTCCACGTCGCAGACGTCGAAGGCGTACTTGACCAGCGTGTCCCAGGACAGCGTGCAATAAACATAGAGCGAGCCGACGAACTCGGCAAAGTCCATGTTGTCCGCGCTGTCGACGTTCGCGAGCATGAACGCCTTCTCCACAAAGGGGCTCTTGTCGAGGTCGAGGTGCATGAGGAACTCGAAGTAGCAGATGCAGCCGCTCTTGTCGCGGTCGATGCGGTTGAAGAGACCGTGCATGCGGTCGATGTCGCGCCGCGTCAGGCGGAGCAACTCCTTGAGGCGCAGGAGGCTCCGGAAGTGCTCCTTGTTGAGGTGGAGCGACCGCGCCGACAGCGGCCGGCAGAGGGCGCAGCCCATGCCGCCCGCCGACCGGGGGCAACGTCCGCTGCGCTAGCGCGCCACGGGCCGGCGCCGGGGGCAGCGTCGTGCCATCCTGTTGCCCGGTTCCGCGCTGATTTTCAGCGCTGCAAGTTGTTGTGCAAGGTCTCTGCACCAGCGGCCCATCTCCGAGAGCACGACTCATCTGCACGACTCAGCCTGCATCAGCGCACTGCCGCGTCCGCGCAACACAAGCCGCGCGCGTGCGGTCGCGCGTGCACACAGCACGTCCGGAAGAGAGATTCGCAACGCGAATCGCACAGGATTGAGAGCACGGCCGCGCGCGCGCAGCGCCTCGCGAAACGCTCTCCCACCCCCAGGTCGCCATGGCGCCGAAACGCAAGGCCTCCGCGAAGCAGGACAGCGAGCCGAAGAAGGCGGCGAAGACGAAGGCGGACGCGCCGCCGTCGGAGGGCGGCGTCGTCGTCGTCGAGGCCTGCAAGAGCTGAGGCGCGTTCAAGACCCGCGCGAACAAGGTCTTGAAGGCTTTGGAAGGCAAGGCGGAGGTGAAGATCAACGAGGAGAAGCCGCGCAAGGGCGCCTTCGTCGTCTCCGTCGGCGACACAAAGGTCGTCGAGCTCCTCGACATGAAGCGGCCGTTCCCGGCGCTGAAGGCGCTGGACATGGACGACGTCGCCGCGGACGTCGAGAAGGCGCTGGCCGCGTAGGCGCCCGGCCGCGGCTCGCCGGCGCCGACCGCGAGCGCCGCCGCATGACCGACCGCGGGGATCCATCCAAGATCCGCGGTCGCGACGAACGGGCGCGCTCGGGTCACCGCCGGCCCCGCGTTCTAAAAGAAACGTTACTGTGTCGCGGCGCTCTTGGTCGCGAGCGACTTGCCCGCGCGGCTCGCGCGGTAGTAGGTCCGCGCCTCGTCGGCGTCGCGGTCGCAGCCCTGGCCCGCGTCGAGCATGTCCCCGAGGGCCGCCTGGGCCTTGAGGTCGCCCTGGTTGAACGCCTTCGTGTACCAGCGGAAGGCCTCGTCGTAGTTGACGTCGCCGCCGACGCCCCGGAGGTAGCAGCCCGCGACGTAGCGCTGCGCGGTGGCGTCGCCCATCATCGCGGCCTTGAGGAAGCAGCGCCGCGCGTCCTTGTCGCTCTGCTCCTTGCCGCGGCCCCGCTCGTAGGCCACGCCGAGGAGCCGCGTGGACACGGCGTTGCCGCGGTCGCGCTGCCACTCGGTCGCCGCCGTCTCCTCGTCCCAGACCACGTTCTTCTTCGTGTCCATGAGCCAGTTCATGAGCCCCGCCGCGAGGTCGGACTTGAGCTTCGACGACTTCGCGTTCTTGTACTCCGCGGCGAGGCGCTGGGAGGCCTCGTGCCCCAGCTCCTGCGTGAGCTCGCTCTGGCCGCCGAAGTCCCATTCGTCCTTCTTCCGGACCATTGTGTGCTGCGTGGGGGCCGCCTCGCTGCAAGCTTTGGGCTGCTTGGAGGCTGCCTCGCCGTGCAAAGCTGCTTTGGGCTGCTTGGAGGCTGCCTCGCTGTGCAAAGCTGCTTGGAGGCGGCCTCGCTGTGCAAAGCTGCTTGGAGGCTGCCTCGCAGCGTCGTCGAGAGCGCGGGCGCGGCGGAAGGACCCCCAGGATAAGGAATGCCGTCGAGAGAGCGAAGAGAGCTGATTTGGTGTCAGAAGAGACACAAAGGCACCGTTTTGAGCCGGTTGTAGTTGAAGCCTGTCGAGCAACTAACGGACCGCATCCGACCTGCAGCCCTGGAACTGCCATTCGATAAAGCAAAGGTCTGGCTAAATTACCGTCCAAAGGGCACCCGTTCAAAGGGATATTGGTTCGAGCGAGGCGGCCGGCGTCCGAAGAGGAGGTGGTTCGTGGGCAGGCACGCCGGCGCGGACCGCGTGTGCGTCCGGAACCCCGAGGCCTCGAGGAGTTTCACGCACGCGCCGAGGCGACCGTCGACGTCGTGGACCTCGACGACGACGCGCTCCGCGCAAGCGAGCGTGCTTCGAGCGCCCAGGAGGACGTCGTATTCGTGGCCTTCGACGTCGATCTTCAACAGATCGAGCGTGTTCACTTCGCACAGAAGACCGCCGAACTGAGCTGAGAAGCAGAGCGTGTCGAGCTTTTGGACCTTGACGGGCTGCTCCGCGGCGCCGGCGAAGAGGTCGTCGGCCTCGAGGCCCCGGAAGTGCTCGTCGCGCTTCTCCCGCGGCCGCAGCGTCGAGTTGCCCGGCATGGCCGGATACGTCGTCAACGACCCCTCGCCGTCCTCCGCCCCGGCGGCGTAGGGACATATTCTGAAGTGGCGGCTCCCGCAGTACCTCCGGAGGTTGACGCCGAGGGCCTTCCGCGCCGCTTTGCCGTACGCCCGGGGCTCGACGCACACGAAATACGCGCGCGGATACCGCGGCGCGTAGCGGACGGCGAGCAGCCCGCAGTGGGCCCCGACGTCGACGACGAGCTGGTTCTCGTCCGGGGACAACCCCGCGAACGCCTCGTCGTAGCAGCCCTCGACGAAGAGCTCGCGCTCGAGGTGCGCGTTCTCCGACGGAGACGCGCGCGGCAGGCGGACGACGACGCCGCAGTCGAACTCGACGTCCGCGGCGAAGTCGTCCTCGCCGTCCGACTCCGAGTCCTCGGACGTCGACGAGTAGTCCGGCCACGTCGACCCGTCGATCGGCCGCAGCGCGCGCTCGACGTGGACCGACGCGCCGTTGACGCCGTACGCGAAAAGCCGCCGGGCCAACGTGACGGCCCGGAATCGCATGGCGCCGCCGAGCGCCGCTTCGATCGCGGCGCCGACGCCGGCCGGCTCCGCGCGGAGGCCCACGCCCCGGTACGCGACGTTTTCGGCCCAAAAGAACTGGTCGAAGAAGAACGGCACGACGACCTGGGCGCAGCCCCGCTCCGCGGCCGCGTGCGTCGTGCCGGCGCCGCCGTGGTGCACGACGCACGCGCAGCGCCGCATGATGGGGCCGTGGTCGACGGGGCCGTCGATCACGAAGACGTTCGCGGTTTCGCGGAACGCGGCCATCGCGTACCCGAATTCGTCGGCCTGGACGACGCCGAGCCGGCCCGTCGCGCGGAGCGCGTCCCGCAGGCCGCCGTAGATGGCCTCCGCCGCTTCCCGCGTCAGGCATCCCGCGGCGGCCGTCCCCGCGGCGCCGAGGCTCAGGAAGACGCCGGGGTCCGCCGCCCCGGCGAGGAAGTCCTCGGCCGCGCGCGTCGTCGCGGCGCCGGCGGCCGGCGCGTAGGCCGTGTCCACGGAGATGATCCCGTCGCCATCCTCGTCGCGGAGGAAGCTGCCGAGGACGTGGAAGCGACGGAGCCAGTAGCCCGGCCGCGGGAAGAGCGCCTCGTCGACGCCGTAGATCACCTCCGGCGCCCCGCGGCGGCGCAGGAAGCGCGCGAGGCCGTGGGCGCGCTTCGGTTCGCCGCCCTCGATGGTCGCGCGATACGCGAGCCAGCGGTCGTCGAGGAGCGCCGGCCAGAGCCAGTGCTCGACGTCGTCGAGGACGATCGTCGCGGGCGGGGCGGACCGCGCCCGTTCTTCGGGATCGAGCGCGTGCCAGTCGGGGCGCTCGCGCCGGAAGTTCCGCGTGAGCCGCCGGAAGAGCGCCGGCTGGCGCGCTTCGAGCGCCGCCCGCCAGCCGCTCGGCGGGGAGCCCGGCAACGCGTATCCCTGGACGACGACGCAGGGCAGTTTCAGCAGGTCCGCGAGGTGGACGCCCTCGAGCGCGAAGAGGTTGAAGGCGAGACCGTCCGCGCCGCGCGCCGCCGCGAGGCACGCGGCGCCCTGCTCGGCGCTCCAGAGCCGCGCCGCGTCCGCGGACCGCGGCAGCACCGGCGGCGTCGACACCCAGACGAAGTCGACGCCCTCCGCCGGCGCGAGCCAGGATTTGTGCGTCTCGTGCGTCACGAACGTGACGCGCGGCCCATTGCGCACGCCATAGCTCGAATAAGACCGCAGCGCGACGCGCAGCACCGGCTCCACGTCGCCGCGCGTGCCGAAGGCGAGGCAGCAGAGCACCGGCGCCATCGCTCGTGCAGCGGCGACTGTCTCGAGCAGCTCGCCGAGGTGGGCCTCTATGCGTTCACGGTCGAGCCGCCGAGGCAGCGGCACGCCGAGGCGATCGAGCTGGCCACCATTGCAGATGCGGCTCACCAAGGCTGAGCAGCGTCCATAACCTACTTCAAGGTCTGTGCACGACGATGATGCCGTCTTCGAAGCTTTGTGAGCTGCCCCCGGGCCGCGCGCGCTCTCTCTGTGGCCGCCGCCGACGCGCGCCGCCGTCGCGCGCTACCCACCATCGTTGTTGATGCCTTAACCACGATGCGATGAGCCGCAGCCTGCTCCGGGCTGCCGCAGTCCTCGCGTTCGCCTCCGGCGACCGCGGTGTCGCGCCTGATGTTTCAAAAGTCATCGACCCGCCGCTCGGCCGCGTTTGTGGCAACTGGGAGAAGTGCATGGACTGGATCGACGAGCGGCCGGAGCTGGACCCGGCGAACGCCGTGACCTACCGCCACCTCGCCGAACCGCAGCGCGCGAACCTCAGCTGCTGCGGCCGGCCGCCCGTCGCCTGCCCCGCCGAGAAGCCGCCGCTGGCCTGCCTGCTCGCGCGCGTGCCCTTCGGCGAGCCGCCGGCGTGCGTCGCGCGGCGCTTCGCGTGCTGCCTCCGCCACTGGGCCGTCGAGCGCTTCGCGCTCCACGAGGCCTACGCGGGCAAGACGCACGTGCGATGCAACGGCAAGACCTGGGACGTCGCGGAGCTCCGCGCGGACGACGTGCTCTTCGACCACCGGTCGCTGCACAAGTTGTGCGCGGCGTTCAACCCGCACTGCCTCTTCGTCTGGGAGCAGACGGAGTACCCGCCGCCGGACCAGCGCCACGCGTCCCTGGCGAACGTCAGCGTCGTCGTGAAGATGGGCGACCCCTGGTTCCAGGTCCACAACGCGCCCGGAGACGCGCTCGTGCTCGCGAACAACCCGCTGGCGAATCCCCTGATCCGACGGGGCGCGCCGACGCTCGCGGTGCCCAGCGGCGTCAAGCGCGGGCCCCAGCTGCGAGACGAGTGCCGCGCGCGGCCCAAGGCGCTCAAGGTGCGGTGCGCGGGCGTGAACCTGCACCGGGGCCGGCGGCAGAAGTTCGACGAGCTCCGCGCGCGGGGCCTCTGCGACGGCGACCCGCTCTACGACCGCGGGTCCCACCTCCGCAGCGGCCGCCTCGACCCGGCGGACTACTTCGCGAGGCTCGCGGAGGCGGCCTACGCCCCGTCGATGCCCGGCGTCGGCTGGCAGAACTACCGCGACACGGAGGCCGTCGTCGCGGGCGCCGTGCCCATCCTCGAGACGCCGCCCCTGCTGCCGGAGCGCGGCTACTTCGACGCGCTCCTCGACGAGCTGCCCCACGTCCGCGTGCGGTCCAGGGCAGGACAAGAGAGCGAAATTCCCAACTTCAAAGGCTCGTATCTCGGCCGTTTTCCACTCGTTTCGGCTGATTTTTGGACGAGCGATCATCTCTCGGAACGGTCTCGACGCGTGGGTGCTTTTCTCGTGACGCGCGCGCGCGGAACACTCATGTTGAAGCGACGTTGAATCACCCTTGTCCTGCCCAGGTGCGGTCCTGGCTCTCCTTCGCGGAGCCGCCCGAGGACGTCCTCTACTCGGACTGGGACAAGCTCCGCCTCGAGGACCTCCCCGACGGGCCGCCGGCCGGCGACGCGCGCAAGTTCTACCTCCCCTTCTACCTCTACCACGTCTTCGACGCGCTCCTCAGGGCCGGCGTGACGCGGCCGACCTCGCCGGAGAACCCGGCCCGCGTCAAGGTGACCGCGCCGCCGGGCCGCGTCGGCAAGTACCCCTACCTCGACCCGAACGCCGCCGGCTGCCGCTGGTTCGACCCGGAGTAAGGCACGCGCGTGCCGGTTCCCATGCCGGAGGCTCTGTGAGCTGCTCTTTTTTAGCTAAGTTGAAGTGCACCTTTAGCCTTGCCCACGAGATTGCCCACTGCTCTTGATGGTCCTGCGCCTTCTTTGCGCGCTGTTGCTGAGCGCCGCGTCGGCGTTTCAGCAGCTCTCGGCGCGGCGACGGCACGGCACGGCGCTCCGCGCGACGCGCTGGTTCGTCAAGACGGAGCAGTTCTGCGCGCCGTTCCCTGTGGTGAAGCCCCACCTCGAGGCGCACCGCGCCTGGGTCACGGAGCTGCGCGACGGCGGCGCGACGATCACGTCGGGCTACCGCGTCGACGGCGAGGGCAAGCCCGGCGGCGGCGGCATGCTCTTTTTCGCCGCCGACTCCTACGCGGACGCCGAGGCGCTCGTGCGGCGGGATCCGCTCGTCGCCGCGGAGGTCGTCGACTGGCGGCTGAACGAGTGGATCAGCGAGGTCGGCGGTATCGAGCTCACCTAGGCATGGGACGCGGCGCCGGCCCGGCGTCGAGGACGCGCGCGGGCGCGCGGTCGGCACGTAAGCTCGAGGGCGAGACCGGCCGCTTCACTAGCGCCCGAGGGCGGGCGAGACCCGCAGCGGCTGCTTCACTAGCTAGGTTAAGTCATAAAGGGCGACCGGAGAGCGGCTTGAACGACGCGGGCGGGAGGCCGGCCTCCGGTCTTCCGCGCGGGACCGCGGGCGCGGAGGCGGGCGGTTTCGGACGAGCAAAAAGGGGACGGCGCGGGGGCGGCGGCGCCCGCCGCGGGGGCGCGTTGGTCCGGCGGCCTCAGTTGCCGGCGGCCTTGGCCTCCTTGGCGAGGGCCGCGCGGTTCGGCGCGTCCGCGCGCGCGTTCGGCGGGAGCTCGTAGCTCCCGCCGCTCCGCCAGTGCGCGACGTGCTGGCGGACGTCGTCGACGTCGTGGATGACGTCCAGAAAATCGGCGATCGTCTTCAGCTCGTCGTCCTCCGGGTCGCCGACGAAGTCGACGACGTCGATGGCGTGCTCCGGGTGCCAGAGGTACGCGTTCGGCGAGTTGTCGACCTGGGCAGCAAAAGGGTGCGAAATTCCCAACTTCAAAGGCTCCTATCTCGGTCGTTTTCCGCTCGTTTCCGCTGATTTTTGGACGAGCGATCGTCTCTCGGAGCGCTCTCGAAGCGTGGGTGCTGTTTCCGAAACGCGCGCGCGCGGAACACTCACGTTGAAGCGACGTTGAATCACCCTTTTGCTGCCCTGTTGTCGACGATGATCGTCCGCTTCAGGTCGCGGTTCATGCGGCTCAGGTCCTTGACCAGCAGGCCGTTGGCCGTCTTCGTGCAGGACTCGCGGTAGAAGCGGGGCCCGAGCACGCGGCCCGTGTCGAGGAGGTCGAGCACGAGGGACGCGTAGGGCCGCACGCCGGCGGTCATGATCACGACCTCGAACTTGTCCGCGACGCGCGCGAGGAACTCGTCGACGAAGGGCCGCTTGCGCACGCGCGCCGTGCACCAGGAGCCGTTGAGGTTGAAGGGCGCCTCGAAGTCCGCGTCGAAGTTCGTGTCGAAGGACGACCGCACCAGGGTCTCGTCGAGGTCGAGGACGAGCGTCACGCGCTGGTCCGCCGCGCCGCGGGGCTCGAGGAGCATGGACCCCTTGGGGCGCCGGGGCGGCGTCGCCGCCGCCGCGCGTAGGGGCGCCGCGGGGCTCGGCGCGTCGCGCTGCTTCGCGCCCCTAGTGAAGAAGCCCATCTTCGGGAACGAGAACTTGCGCCGCGGCGACGCCGCGGCCTCCTTCTTCTTCTCGGGCGTCGACGCGGCGACGGTCGCGCGCCCGGCGGGCCGCGGGCTCGCCGCCGCCGCGGCCTTCGCCGCCCCGGCCCGGCCCGGGTCCTCGTTCTCGCCCTCGGCGCGCGCGGCCGACGCGCCGCTCGGCGACGGGATCGGGCAGCCGAACGCCTTCTCCTCCTCGGACCGCGGCGCGAAGGTCGCGTGCCGGGCGAGGATCTTCGCGTGGCTCATGGGACTCGGCGGCTCGACCATGCCGCCGGCCCCGGGCGCGGGGGCCAGGCCCCGCCGATCCACCTTGATGGTAGGGCTCTCGACCATGGCTAGCGCGCGGCGCCCAACCGGGGTCCTACGCGGCGCCGACCGGCGGCCGGCGGGGGCGAGCAAAGGGGTCGACGCTCCAACGCGCGGCGACCGGCCGGGGGGGGCGGCGCGGCACCGTTTGGCAGGTCGTGCCCTCTGGGCCCGCTGCCTCCCGAAGTCGCGGCTCGAAGCGCTTGTGGCAACATGGTTGCCCTGTGGCAACAACCGCCCGGTGCCGTGTTGCGGGTATGAGTTTCCGACCTCAACAGGGAGATCGCACCACGCCAGAGCCAGCCAGGGGCTGCGCCCAGTCTCGCGCTCGTCGGCAGCAACTCAAGCACTCCTTGGACGAGCGGCCGCCTCGCACTCGTGTCGCCAAAAAAAGGTTGCCCCAAGACTGCACCAGCATCACGTTAGGGCTGCCCGACATGATGCTCGCGCTGCAGAGGCTGCCCGACATGATGCTCGCGCTGCTATACATCGCCGCTACCGCGCACGCCCTCGCGCCGACGGCGGTCCCGACGCGCGTCGACGTCGCCATCGCCGGCGGCGGCCTCGGCGGCCTCGCGGCCTGCGCGGCCATGCGCGCGCGGGGCATCGACGCGCACTGCTTCGAGGCCGCGGGCGAGCTCCTCCGCGGCAGCACGGGCACGGGCATCATGATCTCCGCCAACGGCATGTCCGCGCTCGGCGCCGTCGACAGACGGCTGCCCGCGGCGATGCGCGCGCGCGGCGTCCGCATCACGTCCCAGAAAATCACGAAATACGGCGCCGACGGCGCCGAGGAGAAGAGCGTGTCCATGGACGCGACGACCTTCAAGGACACCTTCGGCCACGACCAGTACAACATCGCCTGGTCGTCGGCGCACGAGGCGCTCGCGGACGTCGTGCCGCCGGAGGTCGTCCACTGCGGGCGGGCCGTCGCCGGCGCGACGGCGGCCGAGGGCGGCGTCGACGTCGCCTTCGTCGACGGGTCGAGCGTGCGCGCGAAGCTGCTCGTGGGCGCCGACGGCATCGGGTCCAAGGTGCGGTCGCTCGTGGCGACGGGCGACGACGCGCCGCGCTACTCGGGCCAACTGCTCTGGAACGCCATCGTCGACAGCGCGGCGCTGCCCCTGCACGGCCCCGGCGAGGTCTCCTTCGCGACGACGGGCGTCGACGGCCGCGCGATCTTGGCCTTCGACGCGGGCGGGGGCAAGACGAGCTGGTACCTGACGCTGCCCGCGACCGAGGCGCCGCGGTCCGCGGCGGCCATCGCCGACGGCTCCTTCGGCGGCTTCGGCCGCCCCGGGTCGACGGCGGACCTCGAGGCGTCCTTCGCCCGTTTTCCCGACGCGCTCGCGTGCCTCGCGGCGACGCCCCCGGCGGAGATCTTCGAGCGGCGCCTCGGCGACCGGCCGCCGCTGGGCTCCTGGACCGGGCTCGACGGGCGCGTCGTCGTCATCGGCGACGCGGCGCATCCGATGGTGCCCTCGCAGGGCCAGGGCACGATGGTGACCTGGGAGGACGCGGCGGACCTCGCCGCGCTCGTCGCGGCCGAGGGCGCGTCGCCCGCGGCGACGAAGGCCTTCGCCGCGCGCCGCGGGAAGCGGTGCGACATGGTGCAGAAATATAGCGCGGCGTCGTACATGGGAAAAACGTCGCCGACGCGGCAGCCGCGCAAGATTTTCAGCATGCTCGGCAACTTCCGGCGGATCAAGCAGATGTACTCCTGGAAGCACACCCTCGACGAGCTGCCCGGGGAGCCCTTCGCGCGATGGGCCTGGAGCGGCCCCGTGGTTCGCGACTGACCGTTAACATACCCCGCGGCGGTCGTCGGCGCCGGCGCCGCGCCCGCGAAGAAGCAGCCGCTCGTCGCGCGCGCTTAAGCGCGCGCGAGGCTGGAACCGCAACATTGACGCGCCGACGCATGTTTGCCTGGTTGAAGAGCTCTTCGTATGGGGCGCCCTCAGAGGCTGCTAGTCCGCCGCCTTTACACGTGATTATCCGGTCGCCCATGCCGCGGACCCGGTCACGCATCGCCGCGGCTTCGCACAAGCTCTTGACCGCGCTCCCCGAGTTGGTCGCCTTCGATATCTTCGGTTATGCATCGGCTCTGCGACCCATGCCGCTGGACGGCTCGGAGTCGCCGCTGATGGACGAGCCCTCGAAGTGGAACTGGCCCGAGGTGCCGTCGGATCCAGCGACGCGCGAGACCATGACGCGCCAGCTCCGGGCGGTGCCCTCCCTGCTGCGCCGCGCGGCCGCGGACGAGCGGGACGTCGCTCGCATCGAGATCATGATCGTGACCGCGGGGACGGCGTTCTTACGCGTGGTGTCGCCGGCGCTGCGCGACGCCGTCGACGAGATGGCGGCGTCCGTGCATCTCGCGCAGGTCGGATGCCCGCCCGCGGACGCGACGGCGCGCACGCTGACCGTCAAGGACTACATCCGGGAGCAAGTGGACCGGTGCCCGTGGTACTGCGACTTCAGCGAGGAGATCCATGCCGCGGGAGGCTTCGACACATGGTTCGACACGTGCAAGTACATCGACCCGGATCGCGGCTTCGTGAATACGCGGGACGCGTATATTACCGAAGACGGCGATCGCGAGGTCTTCGAGGGTCGGACGAAACGACGCGTCCCGACGGCGACCGCGCCGCACGCGGCGTTGGTCGACCGCGCTCATGCGATCCTCGCGCACCGCGCGGCGGCGTTCTGCTACGGCATCGGCTGCGATTGCTGCGAGGATGCGAGATTCGGCGAGGCGATGGAGCTCACGTTCTACGGCAAGGCGTCGGCGATGCCCTGGCCGATCGACGCCTGGCATATCTCCATCAGCCGAAAGAATGGGACGGCATTCAATCCGAATTCCTCGATATGTCGCAAGCTTCGCGCTTTCGCCATTGCGCTCGCGCCGTCGACGGCCGGAGATAGGCTCCGAGAACTCCCGGCGGGGGAGCGGACGACGCGCGTGGACCTCTTCGGCGCGCCGACGCGCTGGACGGACTACGCCGAAGGCCTCCTCAAGCAGGAGCCGCAGACCTATAGCTTCGTCCCGCCGGGCGCAGCTCGGCCCGACGAAGGGGCTGAGGAGCCGCACCCGAAGGCCGGGACGCGCGAGTTTATTCTCGGCGCGGACCCCCGCGAGAACCACTGGCAGCGGCGCGAAGGCATCACGCACGGGTCCTCTGAACCGCCGGACGACGTTCTATCCTCCTTTTGTGCCTTCTCGTTCCTGCCGGCGTACGGGGACATGCAACGCGATGACTACGATTGGGATCGAGACTGGTCCGCCGCGGCGCGGCGCGGCGGCGGCTACGCGATGCGCGCGGCAGACCTGTGCGTGCCGGACAGCGGCATCGAACGGGCCGAGTACCGTGATTTTGTCGAGCGCCTTCGCTTGGTCGACAGCGACTCGGATGACGACTGGTATGATCCGCCGCCGTCCGTGGACGGCTCGGACTCGGAGCAGGAGTCGTACGTCTCCTACGCCCGGGACTTGGGGGGAGCCATCGACCCGGTGCCGGACGCCCCGATCCTCCTCCGCGACGTGAGCCTCGAGCCCCACGAGGGGCGCGTGCATCTGGTCTTTGAGATGGACAATGTTTTTGCCAATCCACATTATCCTAATGACGGCATGCGACTCATGGTCTCCGGAACGATTCCCACGCTGCGGTACCCGGAGGAAAGCGATGGCGAGGGCGACGAGGCCTACATCGGCGGTGGCGACATCATCATCAACGACGACTTCGTCTGGCGGGCCGGAGATAGGCGCCGCGACGCCATCGCGCGACTCGCCGACGAGCAGCGCCGCGTCCTCCCGCGCCGGCGAACAAACGGACTCAAGTTCTACCGCCACCCGACCCTCAGCGGCAAGTCGGTGATCGCATGCTAAGCTCGTGTAATTTAGAACTCCTCGGAGGACCCCGATTGCAAGAGGGCCACGTTGCTGAGGCGGGTCCCCGCGGCCTTGCGGCGGCGGCCGCGCGCGCAGGCCGCCGGGTCCTTGTGCTGGTGCCGGACGACGACCGTGGCGTAGTTCAGGATCTCGTCGTGTTTCTGCTTGATGATGGGCTTCGCGGCCGTGTACTCGCTGAAGGAGATGACGCCGTCGCGGTCCTTGTCGACGAGGTGCATGATCTCGTCGCCCGCCGCGCGCACGAGCGAGTTCAGGAGCTCGAAGGTCTCGACGGAGAAGACGCCCTCGGTCAGCTCGAGGCGCGCGAGCGCGTCCTTGGCGTTCTTGTGGAACGTCGCGCGGACCTCGCGGACGGACACGTCGGCGGAGCCGTCGCGGTCGTTGGCCTCGAACTCGGCGCGATCGGCCCTGGAGAAGCGCGCCGCGCCCGTGACGGGATCGCGGCACGCCGCGTAGCGGAGCCACTCGAGGCGGTCGATCTCGCCGCTCGCATCGGCGTCCATGGCCGCGAGGGCCCGGCCCACCGCGTGGGCGCCCGGCTCCGCGCCGTCGTCGCCCGCCTGGACCCAGAGGAGGAACTTGAGCTCCGCGGCGGACAGCGACCCGGACGCGTCGTCGTCGACGACGGCGAAGGCCACCCAGGCGGCCACCGCGTCGCCGAACTCGTCGAGACCGATGAGGCCGTCGGCCGCGCCGCCGTTCGCGTCCAGCAGCGCCGCGAACGCGTCGACGTCGCCGCGCGACGGGAAGCCCGGCAGCCGCCGGACGATGCCCCGGAAGACGTCGAGGTCGACGACGCGCGCGGGCCCGGACCGCAGCAAAAAGTCCGCCAGCGCGCGGTCGCAGAGCTCCTCGCGCCGCCGGTGGTACGCGTGGACCATGCGCGCGGGCAGGAACCTGGGCAGGACAAGGGTGCGAAATTCCCAACTTCAAAGGCTCCTCTCTCGGCCGGTTTCCACTCGTTTCGGCTGATTTTTGGACGAGCGATCATCTCTCGGAACGGTCTCGAAGCGTGGATGCTTTTTTCCAGAACGGGCGCGCGCGGAACACTCACGTTGAAGCGACGTTGAATCACCCTTGTCCTGCCCTGGCAGGAACGGCGCGAGGTGCCCCGCGAGCCGCGTCGCGACGAAGCTCCGGAGCTGGGACGCGGAGACGCGGTCGCCGCCGACGTCGTCGGCGAGCGCGGCGACCGTCGCCGCGGACACGACGGGCGTCGTCCGCGTCGCGCGGTTCAAGCCCTGGAAGCAGCACACGAGGAGCCGACTGCACTCGGACGCGGAGACGTAGCCGTCGCCGTCGCCGTCGAAGAGCGCGTGGATCGCGGCGACCTTCGCGTCGAGGCACGCCTCGTCGCAGAGCAGGTAGAGCGCGCAGAAGATCTCCATGGACCGCGCGACGTCCTTGCGGCGCCGCTTCGCGCGGAGCCGGCCGCGCCGCGGCGACGCCTCCGCGTCCGCGAGGGCCTTGGGCCGCCGCGCCGCCGCGCGCTTCCAGCGCGACGTCGCCTTGGCGACGCGCGCCGCGCGCTGCCAGCGCCGCTCGGCCCGCGACGGCTCGAGCTTCCAGTACTTGAAGTGCTCCGCCGGGTCCGCGAGCGTGAGCGAGAAGACGAGGTCGAAGTCCTCCTCGTCGAGCTCCTCCTTGCCGAGCTCCTGGAGCGTCTCGCGGCACTCGCGCAGGCCGTCGAAGGTCGTCGCGCGGTACTCCGCCAGCGCGTCCATGGCCGAGCCCGAGAGCCGGCGCGGGCTGCCCAGGGAGAGGGACGTGCTGTTGCCCATGGCGCCCGACGTGGGGTGGGTTGCTTGTTTGTTGTGTGCGGATGGAACTGGGGCGGTGCCGATGTCGTCGCTCGGCTGCTCTGGTTGCTTTCGAATCTGAGGCTGCCATGACGAAATTTCCGGCGGCGCGCGGCGCGAACAAAGCCGGTGCGAGTTTTTTGTTGGTGCAACAATCGGTTCAACAATCCTGCTCGCGGAGCATTTACCATCAATGCCCGTAACAGGGCGGGACGACGCACGCGGCGTAGGGCGGCGCGCAGGGCGCCGCCGCGTAGTCGTCGGGGATCCAGGGCGCCCAGACGGCCGGCGCGCCGCGCGCGAACGTCTCCTCGCAGTCGCAGCAGGCGTAATCCGCACCCTGGAACGGCGGCCACGGCTCGAAGGGCGGCGGGAGGCGCGCGGCGTGCGCCTCGAGACGCGCCGCGAGGTCGCGCACGACGCCCGGGTGCCGGTTCGCGACGTCCGACGTCTCCATGGGATCCGCCGCAAGGTCGTAGAGGGCCGCGCCGCTGCGGTTGGACCAGAACTCGAAGGAGAGCTTGAAGTCGTCGTAGCGCAGCGCCGCCTTGGGCGCCTTGAGCTGGTCGGCGTCGTCCGACCGCGGATTGATGTTGTAGAGCACTTCCCGGCGGCGGCCCGGGGTGGCGGGGTCGAGGAGCTGCGGCGCCGCGTCGACGCCGTCGAGGTCGAGGGCGTGGGTCGCGCCGGCGAGGGCGACGAGCGTCGGGAAGAGGTCGACGACGTGGACGAGCGACGCGGACCAGCCCGGCGAGAGGAGCGGCGGGTAGCGGACGAAGCAGGGCGCGCGCGTCCCGCCTTCCGTCGTGAGCGTCTTCCCGCCCTTGAAGTAGTTCGCCCGCGCGCCCGAGGGCGCCGCCGAATTGGCCATGGCGCCGTTGTCGGAAAAGAACACGACGACGGTCTCGTCGAGCGCGGGTAGGGCGTCGAGCACGATCCCGGCGGCCTCGTCCAACGCCGAGACCATGCCCGCGTAGACGCGCTCCCGCGCCGGGAGCGCCGCAGCGTAGCGGTCCGCGAAGCGCGCCGGCACCTCCAGCGGTTCGTGGACGTTCTGGAAGGCGCACTGGGCGTAGAACGGCCGTTGGGCGGTCCGCACGAACGCCACCGCCGCGTCGCGCACGGCGTCCGCCGAGTACGTCCCGTTCATGTCAAAGGCCGGCGCCGCGCCGTCGTGGAAGTCGTAGCCGGTGACGCAGCGGTGGCAGCCGTCGGGGAACGTCTTCGAGGGCGCGTAGCTGTAGACCTGCGCGCGCGGGTACGAGTCCGTTGGACGAGACAACGTAAACAAGCGACACCGCTCGCGACGCCCGTGTCGTGCGTGAAATGCGTCAAACCGCCAGAATAGAAGCCGCGAAACACGTCGAAGCCCCGGGACTGGGGCAGCGCCGCGTCGCGGTGGCTGCCGAGGTGCCACTTGCCGAGCAAGCCCGTCGTGTAGTTCGCGGCTTTGAGCAGTTCGGGCAGGAGCGTCTCGTTCGCCGGCAGGCCCCAGGGCTTGCCCCAGTCCGCGTTGAACGCGGAGAGCCCGTAGCGCGTCGGGTAGCGGCCCGTGAGCAGCGCCGCGCGCGTCGGCGCGCAGAGCGGCAGCACGTAGAAGCTCGAGAGCTTGAGGGACTCGGCGGCCAACGCGTCGAGGCGCGGCGTCAGGAACCCGCTCGACACGTTCGTGTAGTCGCTTTGGTAGCCGACGCCGTTGAAGCCGACGTCGTCGGCGATGAGGAGCAGGATGTCCGGTTGGAGGGCGCGGCTGCACGCCGCGAGGAGGACGAGGCTCCGAGTGCCGCCCATCATCACTCTACTCGGGTCGAACGCTCACTTGACTCACCCACTTCAGCTTAGGCCGCCGGGAAAGCCCATCACGCACGACGGGCTGCCTCGAACTGGGCAAGAAGCCTGGCCCATCATGGTCGGCGGCGCAAACGTTGCCTGCAAGTCGGCGAAGCGCAGCGATGGCGGCTCCGGTGCTCCCACCGGAGGCGCCGGAGCAACTCCCAGCGCACCTCGCGCCGGAGGACGTCGCGACGGCGATCAGGGTCCTCGACGCGTGCGTCGCGCTCGACGTCGAGGCCTACGAGTCCTCGAAGGCGTTGCGCCCCCTGCGCGGCGCCCTGGGCCCCCTCGTGGCGCGGGCCCTCGGCCGCACCTTCGACGGGAGCGGCGCGGCCGACGGGAGCGCCAAGGCCGCGGCGCGCAAGGCGCACAAGCGCGCCGCGAACCGCGCGCGGCAGCAGGCGGTCGCCGCGGAGAAGAAGGCCGCGGACCGGTGCGCGCTGCGCGCCGCGCGCCTCGAGCGGCTCGCGGCGAGCGCCGACGGCCTGCCGCGCATCGCCGACGGGCCCTGCGTCGCCGAGGAGACGCCGGCGGCGGACGGCGCGGGCGGGCCCGCGTGGCGCCTCGCGTCGTGCTACGGCTGCCGCGCGCGCTTCCCGGCGAACGAGCGCCACGCGTTCTACGGGACGTCGTTCTGCGGCGCCTGCGCGGCGCTGAACTACGGCAAGCGGTCCCAGGTCGCGGATTTAAGCGGCAAGGCCTGCGTCGTCACGGGCGCGCGCGTGAAGATCGGCTTCCGCGTCGCGCTCACGCTGCTGCGCTGCGGCGCGCGCGTCGTCGCGACGACGCGCTTCCCCGCGGACTGCGCGGCGCGCTTCGCGACGCAGGCCGACGTCGGCGACTGGCGGGACCGGTTGACGGTCGTCGGCGCGGACTTTCGGGACCTGAGCGCCGTCGAGGCGCTGAGCGACGCGTTGTACGACCTGCTGCCCGACGGCCTCGACGTGCTCGTCAACAACGCGTGCCAGACCGTGCGGCGGCCGCCCCAGTACTACGAGCCCCTGCTGCGGCGCGAGCTCGACCTGCGAAACGCGCTCGCGGGCGGCCAGGCAACGAAATTGTTGACGTCCGAGGCCGCGGGCCACGCGCGCGCGTTCGCGGCGCCCGCGTCGGCCGTCGCGCTGCGCGACGTCGACCGCGGCGACCCGGCCCGGCGGTCCCAGCTCTGCGTCTTACCCGGCGACGAGCGGCGCGACGACGCGGCGTTTCCGGCCGCCGCGACGGACGCGAACAGCGACCTCGGCCAGCAGCTGGACCTGCGGCGGACGAACTCGTGGACGCTGAAGCTCGAGCACGTGTCGACGCCGGAGCTCGCCGAGGTCTTCGCGATCAACGCGCTGGCGCCCTTCGTGCTGAACTCGAAGCTCAAGGCGCTGCTCGCCAAGCCCGAGCTGTCGTTCGTCGTGAACGTGTCCGCGATGGAGGGCAAGTTCTACCGGCGCAAGCAGCCGACGCACCCGCACACGAACATGGCCAAGGCGGCGCTCAACATGCTCACGAAGACGTCGGCCGGCGACTACGCGGACTGCGGCATCTACATGACGGCCGTGGACACGGGCTGGGTCAACGACGAGAAGCCCGCGCACCTCGCCGCGGCGCACGCGGCGGACCACGGCTTCCAGAGCCCCATCGACGAGGTCGACGCCGCGGCGCGCATCCTGGACCCCGTCCTCGCGCCCCTGAACCGCGTCGCGGCGGGCGAGCCGGCCGCGCCGCCCTTCGGCGTCTTCCTCAAGGACTACGGCGTAACGGAGTGGTAGCGCTTTATATCACCAGTCCAGGCACAGGTTGAGCTCGTCGACGTCGATCTCGAGGTCGCCCATGCCGACGTAGACGTCGGACCGCCGCTCGTCGGCGTCGGCCCGCTCGGTCCTCGCCTCGCGGTTCGCGGCGATGTCCGGCTGGGGGAAGGCGACGCGGAGCTTCACCTCGAGCTTCGCGTGGCCGTCGGCGCCGTCGAGCGGCAGCTTCTTCACGAGGTCGACGCCCTCGACGATGTTGATCGCGCCGGACGCCTGCTCCGTGCGGAAGCCGAGCCGCGCGGACGTCTTGCCCGTCGTCAGGTCCACGGCGCCGCGGAGCCGCAGCGTCGCCGCGAGGCTCGACGCGCCGCCGAGGGCGAAGACCCAGGCCTTGTGGAGCTGGAGCTCGCTGCCCTTGAGCGTGAGCCGGCCGCCAATTAACGAGTCCTCCCACGAGTACTTCATGCTCCAGACGCCCTGCTGCGTGCTGTAGTCGGCGCCGACGCTCAGCAGCGTGCTCAGCCACCGGATGTTCTTCCGCAGCTTCAGGTTCGTCAGCGGCGCGACGCGCACCTGCACGTGCGGCAGCACGTCGTTGAGCTGCCGCCGCCAGTCCCAGGCCGCGCCCGGGCCGCCGGCGTTGGGGCCCACGGGCACGGCCGTGCTCGGCTTCGGCGCGCCGATGTTCGCGCGGCTGCAGGCCGCGAGGGCCGCCAGCACGAGGAGCCGCATGGCGAGGCGGCGCCCGCCGATGGCTCCTGCAATCGGTGCTCGACGGCAACCAGGTTCACCTTGCGCCGGGAAAAGCAACATCCTGTGGCGAGGTCGTGCTTGAACATTCACAACAGAGCTCTCTGTGGCTGCCCCGACGCTCTCCGAGGCAACGCAGGCCTCCCGTGGCGCAGAAACGACCCCCGCCGCCGCCGGGGCCCCCGCCTCCTTCCGGCCGGGGCGCCCGCCCGCGAGTCCCGCCTCCGCCCTGCGATGATGGAGGACATCACGCAATCCCTGAACCGCCTGAACCAGCTGAGCTTCCGCCTGCGCCTGCTGCGGGAGC